ATTGTATTGCATGAGAACATAATAATTCGTTCAGAAGTAATTGTCAAAACATTTTTAAACATTAAAAAACTAATACAAAATGTCTCCCCCAAACAAGCTAGCAATCCATATATACAGAGAATGATCCAAATACTGCAGTAAACATTAAGATACTGTCTGAAAACACTAACAAATAAAAAAATGTACAAAAAAAATTTTAAACTTGCGCCATGAATTAAAAATGCCTTGCTAGGTTGAAAAGTCTCAAAATGTAAAGAAATGCTAAATATATGAGGATGACTATCGATAATTGTTTAGAAGAAATACTCTTGATATATTGATGAGATTTTGTTAATAGTCAGAGATAGTTCTTATTTTGAAAAGACGCAAAATATATAAAAATGCTAAATATACAGCAAACAGGGATAATTACTTTCTAAGAAATATAAGTCATACTTTTTTTAATTAATTTAATGACAGATATCATACTTTTTAGTATTGAGTGGGGATGGTTTTAATGAAAGATGTCATATTTTTAGGTTAAAAAAACAAAAATGGTATAGAAATGCTAAATATACAACAAAATAGGGATACCTAGCACATGGGAGATTTTTTATTGGATTTAATGAGTCATATTTTTAGGTTGAGAGCCAGAAGAAGATGTTAGTAATGCAAAAATGGGTATGAATACCGAAACTAAACAATAAAATGTCTATAATGAAGGAAAAGTGAGTAAAAAATTTTTAATAGTGACGGATGACAGATGTCATAATTTTTAAATTGAAAAGAAGATTGAATAGACTTACGAGAACCTGTAGAGATAATGGTTGGATAGTTGTCATATTTTTTAGGAAAAAGGAAAATGTCTAGTAATATAAATGAAACGAGTGATTTGTTAAAAAAACTATATATAACTTTTTCTAATAATGACAAGTATAATTGTACAGAAATAAACTTACAAATATTTTAAATAAAACAAAAGATAATTACTACAAAGAAGAGACAGAAATGCTAATAATTCAAAACACTCATGGGACGTTGTAAAAATCAAAGTAGTTCTAATAACAAAGAAAGTACCATCAAACAAATAAAATAAAAAAGAAAATGGAGATGTATTTACTGTAGAAATCGCTAACGAATTCAATAGATTTATGCAAAAAATATTTTTAAAAAAGGGATAAAAGTATAGTCACAAATTATCGTCCAATATCTTTTACTACCAAATTGTGAAAGATTTGTAAAAAATTTCTAAAAAAAACAGTTGTTATCATATATAGACAAATATGGTCTAATTTCAATAAGACAATATGGTTTTAAAGAAAACACGTCTACTGAAGATGCAGTATTAGCTCTTACTGATAAATACCACCACGTGAGAAAGGCAACCCTTGTCTATGTATTTTTAATGATTTTGCGAAGGCCTTTGACATAGTTAACTCACAGCAACTCTTGGATACTTTTGAATCCATTAGTCTTAGAAGAAAATGTCTACTTTGTTAGAAAATAGATTCGAAGCCGTAAAAGTTAGTGGTACAATAAACAATGAAAAACCTATAGACTGTGGGGAACCACAAGGTACGGTTTTAGGGCCGATTCTCTTTGGCCATCATCTCCAAACTAAAGATTTACTTCGAATGTCGCCATTTTGACACCATTGTGGAGATCCAGCGCGCATCGTAGAATCTGCTGATACGCAACGAAAAGAAGACTTACAGGACAAATTCCAGCAGTAATAAAAATGCTGAGACCACTGTGTTTCTGTATAAGGTGACTATTTTAAAGATGATAGTGTGTAAACGTAGATAAATAAAGTATTTTTTTGCAAACAGAGGTAGTCTCGAAACTTTTTAATACTGCCTCGTATACGTTGAAAATTAGACTACACATGTATTAGTCACCTGATAAGATTATTAGCAGTTCCGACAGGTCTAAGCAAGTCTAATCGAAACTCTGGTTACAGCTTCAAAACGACAGTTCTTCCTAACAAAAAAACATCAACAATTCTTTGTAGTTGAAAAACAAATCAGATATTTTGTTTTAACTCCCGAAATCGTCGCAAAAAATTTAATTAATTTGCATAACCGAAACAGCAACATTTTCGTTCGCTTTATTTTTCCATCTGTTCTTATGCGCTGCAACTTACGACGACTATCCAAAGCAGCAGGGAAATCTAGCAGCCTTCTAAACGTGTTGCTCGAAAATGTAAAACTCGCTGTACAAATCTAATTAAAACATTTAAATTACCATGAAATTCGAACGTTTCTGACTTGGTAATGAAACGGATGAACGGCAATTCAACGTTTCTGGCAATGGAATTAAAGTAAAAGAATATGCGGATAAGTTTTGGTTATTTGAGTTCTAGATATTTATCTTTAAGAACAAGATGAAATACATATCAATATTATTCGTAATTCCAACCTAGAACTTTTTGTTAATAGATGCGAATTTTCGTTACTAGAAAAGCAAGAGTGGAAACAATATATAAAGAAAATATAAAGTGGGGAAAACGCAGAAATTGAAAGAAGTAGATGAGTTTATGTCTTCAAGGGTAGATTTTATAACAATGATGAAGACGTAACTAAAAGATTAATTCTAGGTATTATGCAAAGAGGGTTGCTATTTGCTCAAGAAATAATGATCGATGAAAATGTCGGATGAAGCAAACCAGATAGACAGGTCAATGAAGAAAAATACTGATCGGGAGAATGAGGACCTAAAAGCTAGAAGAACTGTGATAAAAATAAAAAAAATGCGTGATAAAATAAATATTTTAAACGAACAAATTGTTCTATTGAAGAGAATTCAATTCAATGGCAAGTTGTATAATGTGTTAGATCGTTGCGTACCCAATTATTCAGCGCATAATAAAAAAACATATATTCCTTGGTTTAATCCCAGTATCATTAAAAAAATAAGAGAAAAATCAAAATTTTGGCGTCAATATAAAAAAGACAACGATATCAGGGCTTTCGAAAAATTTAAGCGCATAAGGGCTGAAGTTAAAATTGCAATTAAAACAGCACATGAAAATTATCTGTTAAAAGCAGAGAATGATATATCTATTAACTCTAACAAGTTTTGGGCCTACGTCAACAGTAGAAAAAGTTCTAGTAAAGTTGCTAATAACATGAGCTATGAAAATAATACACTGGATAATCCTGCTGACATACAAAATAGTTTTGCTGATCTTTTTAGCAAGTCCTACGTTCATTCTAAAGTTTCTCATGTTGATGTGAATGAACTTCAATCAACTTGTTCAAATATTGACAGTTTTGACGAAAGCCAGGTACTTGACGCATTAAAATCTATAAAACCCAAGCGTACTACGGGACCCGACCAAATTCCTGCATTCATTTTGAAAGATTGTGCCCAAGTACTCGCTTATCCTCTGACAATCCTGATCAATATTTGCATCCGTTCTAGTACTATTCCGTCCATGTGGAAGAGCTCTAAAGTATGTCCGATTTTTAAAAATGGAAATCGAACTGACATTAAGAACTACCGACCTATTTCTATTATTTGCAATTTTTGTAAAGTATTAGAAATATTACTGGAACGCAGTATTTATCAACATATAAGGAATGCGTTATCCACTCAACAACATGGATTTGTAAAAGGTCGATCAACAGTAACGAATCTCTCAGTTATTACTCAGCATAAAGCAGAAAATATCGATAAACCTATTCAGACTGATGTTATTTATACAGATATGACTAAAGCATTTGACAGACTTGACCATGGAATTTTTGTAAAAAAACTGTCTGCTTTTGGACTCTCAGATAGTCTTATTGACTTACTAAAATCATATTTGTGTAACCGTTCACAATACGTTCAGTTCAATGGGTTCAAGTCTGTTAAGTACCTTGCCACATCGGGTGTCCCTCAAGGGTCGAATCTTGGCCCACTCTTATTTAATATTTTTATAAATGACATTGGTAGTGTAATTAATGTTAATTATCTACTGTATGCTGATGACCTTAAAATGTATGCTTCCATAAATAGTATTGCTGACTGCGAGCGACTTTCTGAAAATCTAAACCGAGTTAATGAATGGTGCCATAGAAATAATTTAAAATTAAACCCAGCCAAGTGCAATGTAATGTCGTACTCCTTAAAGTCAGATCCAACTTTTTACCAGTATATTGTTGATGAAACTCCCTTAAACAGACCAAAAAACTTCGCCGATTTAGGAGTCCTATTTGATTCAGCACTTTCTTTTACTGACCATGTCGATAGTATTGCATCCTCATCTAATCGTACATATGGATTCATAATCAGAAATACTTAAGTTTTAGACATGATCTAATTTATCCACCCATTGGCACCCCACACGACGCCTTATTAAATAAACATGGATTTTCAAGTCTCGATATAAGGCGAAAATATTTTTCTGTAATTATGCTGCATAAGGTCATAAGCAATCAAATAAACTGCATATTTCTATTACATATGCTTCATTTAAAAGTTTCACGTCTAGCCTCAAGATATACTGACTCATTTTACTTACCAACACCTCGTACTAATATTTTAATGAACTCACCGTTGTATAATATGTGTAATAATTATAATCAGATAAGTCAGGAATTGGATATATTCCATTAGTATTCAGGATATCAAAAGGCATTATTTAGGATAACCATCATTGTACTTTATTTCCTGTAATATTTTTCATTTTTGTACGTTTCGTCTAAATATTTTTGTCATATTTTCCTATTGTGTAATTGGGTATTACTTGTAGAATAGTGTATTTAATAAATAAATAAATTCAATCAATTTATCCGACAAATTCAAATACGGTCGATGAGATAAACCCAAACAAAAAGTGGTCCGATAGTGCTAAAGCACAAAAACCAAATCAGTCTAATTTAATAATTTCGAGTGTTTCAAATACGGGTGACTCCCAAAAAAATTATAGCAAATTTAAAAATAATTCTTCACCAAGTCTGCAGGAAGTTCAAAGGGATAAGATGAATACAATTATTAATTTAAGCACAAATGTATGCGAAAAGGTGGAAAATAAAATGGACCTTAACCGATCGGAAGTATCCTCAAAAAAAAGTAGTGCTAGTATTGTTAAAATGAATGCATCTGAAGCACTTAAAAAATGCAATGATGCAAATAATTGGAACGTCGTTAACCGACGAAGAAAACGTAATATTGTTGTAGGAAATAATACTATCGAAATTATGAAAGGCGAACGTAAACATGTAAGCCTACATGTCGACAGAATTAATATCGATACTACCATTAATGATCTGGAATCTATTCTGATTAAAAATTTTCCGGAAGTTAAATGTGAAAAATTAAATTCGCTACGTCTTGAAATTTACTCTTCTTTTAAAGTTACAATATTGGAAAGTAATTTTAGAAATGCTATGAATCCTGAATTATGGCCTCTAGGAGCTTGCATTTTTCGTTTTTTAGAGAGGCGCAGGAATTCGGTCCACAATACACCTTAATGTTTGAACCAAACCTGCGTCTACTTAATATAGCAACTTTAAACGAAACGAAGGTTAACTTTCTCGATGATGATCTACATCAATATTCGATCCCAATTATTTGTTTAGTCGAAACTGGAGTTCAAAATTTTTTTTTGGATTCCCTTCACCTAAGGGGTTACACCTTGGCATCGTCGTATTGTCGACCAACTATGAAAGGTGGTGGCACTGGTACTCAGAAAAATACATAATAGCGGTGTCATCGGCAAAGCTCATAATAGTTTTTTGAGACATTAAACTATTTATGTAGAGTGTGAATAGCACTGGCCCGAGAACAGTTCCCTGTGGCACTCCAAACGAAACCGTTCTCGGGCCACTACTCTTCCCATCAATACTTACATATTGCACTCTGTTAGTCATGTAACTTTCCAACAAATTATATACAATTCCCCTAATCCCATATTGCTCCAGTTTCTCTAACAATTTTTTATGGCACACCGTGTCAAAGGCTTTTGAGAGGTCAAGAAATACGCAAAGAGTTGGCGTTTTGGAGTCAGTTGCTTTATAAATAATAGATGTAAGTGAATATATTGCATCTTCCGTGGATTTTCCCTCCCTAAAATATTGATGTGGTGATAACACTTCATATTGAGGAACTTTAGTAGTCTCAATTTAATAATTTTTTCATAAATTTTGGAAAACAGAGAGTAAAGAGACAGGTCTATAATTTTTTATTTTGCTTTTGTCTCCATTCTTAAAAAGAGGTTTTATTATACCTATTTTTAAACAGTTTGGATATTCCTGTTCCCGAAAACTTTGATTAATGAAATGGGTAAGTGGTCGACCAATGTCTTCATTTATTTCTTTTATTGTTTCTGCCCTAATACTATCCCAACCTGGAGATTTGTTTGATTTTAAATCTTTAATAATTTGTTTTACTTCATTCTCATTGGTATCCACAAGATATATAGTACTTTCCACCCTGTTTATATATTCCCTATAATTTTGAGGAACTTTGATTTTATTTGCGTATTTTTCACCAATGTCACTATAGTAGTTATTAAAGATATTTGTAATTTTCAATGGATCTGTTATTTTTCCCCGTTCTCCCCTTGTTCAGTTTCAATTTTTGTTTTTATAAGCTGATGATCTTGTGTTTTTAATTCATCATTGTAATAATATAATTTTTTTTAGATATTTTGACAAGATTTGTTATTTTAATTTTATAAATATTGTAAATAGATTTAAGTGCTAAATTATTTAGGTCTTATTTTATTTGTGAAAATATTTAATTCTTGCAGTTTATAGATTTTAACATGCCTGTTGTAATTCTGTTGTATATATTTTTGTATTTCTGTAATACATGTTTCAGTGGCCAAATGAACATCATTTGATTGACATATTGTTGACCAGCTTATGTTTCTTAAGTCCTTTTTTAAGTTTTTATAATTTATGAAACTTATGAAACTATGTTGACTAATTTCTTGCTATTTTCTCTGGATTTTGAGGTAAAGGCTACTGCAATTGGAAAGTGATCTGTAATGTCACATTCAAAAATAAATGATTTAATATTGGTAACACTACTGCCGATATTTTTTATGAAAAAATTATCTAGTTCAAGTATTGCTTGCAGGTCTAGTGGTTTGATTAATGTAAGAAATATAGCCATAAGAATTTAAAATATTTTTGTTCTTTTTTATATGTTCTGAATCATCTAGTAGGTTAATATTTATGTCGCCTGTAATAATATGAGAATTATCTGTTTTATATTTTTCCAAATCATTTAATAAGTAAACTCATTAAAATAAACGTTGCAACTACAAAATCCTCCTTAATACAACTCTGCTGTATGCATTAATTGAATATAACTTACGACTTTATCTAGTAATTATGTGCTATTCCTCAAGATTTATGGCATTTGGCATTTGTTTTGCCGAAGAAATGTTATTTATAATTTATTAACAATAAAGTATAATTATTGTGAGCAAATGTTTATACAATAATTACTGATGCTACTGTTGAGCAGGATTGTGTAATGAAGGAGATAATTTCAACAAAACAAGGATAATGATATTCAAAGCAAAACTTTATCTCCAAAATTATTTTTAATTTTTGGAACATAAAAAAATCACTAGGTACAAATGTTACAGTCACAGTAAAATATTCTGATTTTTGTTAATCAATCTGTGATTTTTAAATAATACTATTGTAAATTATAGAAGCACTATCTGAGAAAATATAAAATGCTAGACGGTCTATTTTTTATGTATATATAAGGCCACATGGGTTATCAATATTTCCAGCATCATCATTGTTTTATCTTCTATTCTTTATGACCCAATTACCCCAAGACACCATTTTTACTAACCATAATTCGTTTTATCACTTTTTTTGTTGAGAAACAATACAAGTGAGGAATAGTTGGCTAGTCCTTTAAAGACACAGATTTATTGTGTTGGTAGTAAAAATCTTTTCGAAATTACAGAACTGGGGCATTGTCAATTGGACTAACTGTTTCGTTATGACTTTTTGTAGAAAAGGCTATACAAATTGTACTTGATATATCTGTGATATTATTTTAGTATAAGATTTTAGACAAAGAATATATTGATATAGAAATTCCTGACATCATCAAATTTATGATCTAAATCACCACTGGGGTGGTGAAGTGTCTTGAAATCAAAATTTAAGTAAAAATCAAAATGTCGGGGTTTTTGTTGAATGGAAAAAAATGTCATGAAAAATCAGATTGTCAGGAATTGTCAGAGGGGGTATTATGTTAGAATTTTTGGAATTTGTACATAGTGTATATTATATACATTTTAGTACATTTTTGTTAAAAAGATTCTTTATAAATACTCTTATTCTAGGCGTCCACGTGACCAGTACTTCAGCAGAAACCCCATAACAATGTCATTAGTCTCTAAGAAAATAAATTTCCGTTCAATATTTGGTTTTACCATATCACACGGGTTAAAGACTATATAACTGTGTCGATAGTAACCAGTCTTAGGAGATTTTCTTGACCTCTGCTAATTACTTAAAACAATTGAAGAACTTGGAAGAGTCAGGAATAAGAGGCTGCAATTACCACTCTTCCAGAACTGTCTAACAGATCGAATCCAAGTGGTAGAAATAGGTAATCATCTAAGTAATCAAAAGATAATAGAATATGAAGTCTCACAACTCTTACATGGCACTAACCTAGGCCCTCTATTTTGATCTCTCTTTATATTAACAGTTTACTCACTACAAATAGTTCAGTTTTGCAGATGACACAGCTGTCGTTTACACAGCTCGTACATAGGAGAGGAGTTGCAGCTAAAGGCATGGAATGATTTTGTTTTCTTACTGAACTGGTTTTAGCACATGGATTTAACTTCAAATTTTGAAAAAACGCACTTTATACCCTTTGATCATTGGTAGTATGATTAAATATGTTACGTTCGTGTGCAGTTGAGACCCTCCCAGCCAAGAGACATCCTCGACTCAATTATCACATGTTCAAAACAAATATAAAAGGTTTAGGTAATAAGGACTGATAAATGGACCGTACAGTACTCCGAAAATTGTTTGGGAACATGTGTTTTGGGCCGCCCCATATATAAAAATGAGTCCGAAGTTTCCAAATGAAACCTTTTAGTGGGTTGTAAGTGTTAAGTGCTTTTTAATGTTCCTTCGCGTCGTCTTTTTTTTACGTTATTGTACTTCAAACTGTTTCATAGAAAGATAAACAAACGGTCTAATGTCATAGTTATTTCAGGTAGAACGGTTACGTAAAGTAGTGTTAAGGTGGCATAATTTTTCTTTGATTGATGGTTTGCGACAATACCTACTCATAAAATTAAGAATTATTGAAAAACAATGCGATAAAATATGGTTTCTAACTTTTAAAATTTTTTTGTTGTCAATTTGTCGAGTTGACACAACGTTTGCTTTCCTGATAATGATACACTTTTTGTCTAATGTTCTCAAAGTGAAAAAGTAAATCTACTAAACATGTATTTATAGACCCCAAATAATGGAGATAATACAAAATGAGAAACAGAAAATAAATAACAAAATGAAAAACTGAAACAACTCATATTTCCGTAAGAAATATGAATAATATACTGGTTTTTGGATTCCTGCAGGCAAAAATGTAGAAGAAAACATAGGTTTCCTCAATCACACATTGAGATCAGGAGCTTAAATAATATATACATGATAGGAAAAAAACAAGACACGCCTATGAAGATCGAATTCTTATTTTATCTAAAGTTCTAAGAAACGGGAATGGGACGTTTCGGCGTGGCCATTTCGGCGTTGGAAGTTTTGGCAAACTTAACAATATAATTTTTACAAATTTAAAATAATTGTTATATATATTATAATTAGGTTTATCATAAATAATAAAACTGCCCACTAAACATGAAACAGTACCAGTCTTTTTTGAAACGTTTCTCATAGAGACTTTTCTTGATATATTTTTAAAACAATGCTGAAATATCACTTAGATGTTTAAATTTTAACATCATATTCATTAACATAAGGTATGAACATCACATTTAGTTCATTAATATGATTTTATTTTATGGGCTTTATATTAACTTCTACAAGAACTAAAAAGACTTTCTTGGATATAACAGGAATGTCACATCTGGTTTGTTAAAACGACATCATTTTTGGAAACTTCCAGTAACGTTGAATAACGTAACAAAGTAGCGCTATAATATCACCGCAACGTCTACATTGTTTTATCACAAAAGTAAATGTCCCTACTCTGGGCTTAGACGGTTATAAGTCTATCCTATAGATGAAAACAAGAGTAAAAATAAAAGTTACAATGTAACAATGTGATGTAAAGTTCTCATTAGTTTAACATTTTTATGCATAGTGGGTGTTTTCGTATCGAAAGGAAGATTAAAATAAAATGTCTATATACTATTGCATAATCTAAATGATCGTATGAACAAACGTCAAAGATATCACCATTCTGCAATTTAGAGAGAATTGTGGATCAGCATTGTATTCTCTCGTATGTCCCATAGAAGCCACTTGTTTCCTCATATTTTGGACCAAGTGAAAAAAACATCCATTTATAGTGACGCCTGTTCGAAATCGCAATAGATTTCTCTGGATTGAAAATTTGGAACAATTTCTTTACTTCACTAATATTATACTAATGTTTATATAAAATATTAATTATACTAATATTAATTACACTACTATAATTCTGATAGGTACTCGAAAAATAGATTAAAGCATTTATCCCATTCCTAAGCAATACCTCATCTATTTCAATACTTTACTTATGTCATAATAAAACTTACAGCGGTTTTAACATACATACTAAAAAATAGTATTCCCGACGCCGAAACGGCCAGCGGCGAAATGGCCTGACGTCCAAATGGCCACGCCGAAATGGCCATGGCCGAAACGGCGACGTCCAGATGTCCTAAACCCCTAAAAAACGCCTATAATCTTCAAAAAAAATGTCTGAAAAATACATTTGTATATTCTTCCAGACAGATATGTAACATATCCTTGACCCACAGATTTTTTACTAGCCTCTGTAATTACATAATTATTTAATTTATTTCTGGTAGAATAATTGTGATCTATGTTTTTTAGGACAGTGCGGCTTTTATATATAAATAATAAGACAACATATGTATATAACTGTCTAATATCTATCACTTTACTTTCAATAAACAAAGAATCTGAAGGGTAATGCCAATTTTTATTTAAAATTATTTTAAACATTTTTTTTTGATTGATTTGAAGAATTCCGCCCCATCCAAGTATACCATAATTTAACCTCGACTGAACAAGAGAATAATAAATTATTTTCAAATGACGAACATCTAGACATGTTTTAAGATATTTAAATGTTGAAAGAAGGCGTCTTCAAGATCTAGCAATATCTTCGACATGGACATTCCACTTAAGATGCGAGTCTAGTTTTATTCCTTAATATTTAATTTCATTCACTGACCTAATAGTTGCATTCTGATGGTTTTGAATCCGTATTTCATTAAAGGGTGGTAAAGAGGATTTACAACTACAAATAGTTTGTTTTTTCTGGGGAGAAAAAAAAAATTATCATTACACATGGTTACTTCTTCCACAAAATCAATAAAGGATACTATTTTGAATTTATTCTAAAAAATCATTACCTACTAATCAGAAGCTTGACAAGTACCAACCTGTATTACATACAATAAATAAAATAAATATATGCCAGATTATTTCTTAATTGCCAAATACGTCCCTGTACGATATCTACTCTTCGATAGCTATAAATTGAAAGGTCGATCACATATATCATTTTTTTTTTGTTTGGAGTTAATGATAGAGTTCTGATAATGACATGTTTATTATTCTAAATACGCATTGTGATCCCATAAAAACCGTTTATTAATTTAAAATTTGCATATTAAAATTATTTAATGGAATTGTAAATTACATATTGTTCGGTTTTTATCACAAATTTGAATAAATTAAGGTGTAGTACAGGGTGAACTCTGCACAATGTCTATAATCAAAATGCAGTCATATTTATAATTATATTTAATTACTAGTGAAGTCCCTCAAGGATCCAGTTTAGGGCCTATACTCCTTTTAATTATTATTAATGATTTGTGTGATAATTTAAACTGCAAAGGTTCAACGTTTACTGACGATTGCAATTTATATTATTCTATTTTAAATTTAGAGTGTGTTGCACTTTAAATACAAAAGTTATAAGAATGGTGTTCGTTATATAGCTATTATATATTTTTTATATCCAAAAGCATTTTATTTTAAAGAAATAGAATACAGAATACGCCTGTTGTCAGTATATACGATTTTAGCCCAAAAAATGAATTAATCTTAATTAAAACTTAAAATTTCAAGACCCAGATTTAAATCCAAGTATTTTGCTAGTTTCTTATTTGATATAATTAATATTGTTAAGTTTATTAGTATATAATCTATTTTTCTATTGATAAAGTTAATGTGAGCATAATCTTTTTCGATAATTTTTGGTCGCCACTTTTTAGACCAGATTTTGAAGATTATATGTTGTTTTTTCTATAGTTGATTCTATGGTTAAGATAGCTGTATTAACAGCAAATGTAAATTATTTTTCCTACGACCACTTAGGAAAGTGACACATATCACACTATATAGTCCTATGGAAAGTGTCCTATATCACACGCGTATGACTAAGAATTTACTTTCCACCCAAGTGAGAATATGTTACTTTCCGCAGTAGTTGTCAAAAAATGTCAAACGCCTAATTTCTATTTTGATCTATGTAATGTCCATATTAATACTAAAATCGATATGATTGTTAAATTATTGAAATTGTTTTAAATTAGATCCTAGATATTTATCTTTAACAATTATTATTAAAATAATTTTAAAATAACTAAGATTATGTTTGCTCTTTAATTTGGGTAAATACATAACCGATTAGATCATTCAATTGACGTAAGGCCCATTAGCTCAGTTGGTTTAGACGTCGAACTTATCAACTTTGCCATTTTTTGACCGCGTTCAATCTATGGTTCAAATCCTGGCGGAGCCGAATTTTTTTTTTGTTTTTTTTTTTATTTTTTATTAGTTTTTTTTTGTTTAGAAAATATGAAAATTGAATAAATACGATTATTGTTGATTATTTTTTTAAATACATTTTAATTAATATAGTAATAATAACCTTGGTTTTACATTTTTTTGATATTATTTTGTAAGCTAATTTCTATTTTGATCTATGTAATATCCATATTAATACTAAAATCGATATGATTGTTAAATTATTGAAATTGTTGTAAATTAGATCCTAGATATTTATCTTTAACAATTATTATTAAAATAATTTTAAAATAATGTTTGCTCTTTATTTTGGTTAAATACATAACCGATTAGATCATTCAATTGACACAAGGGCTGTTAGCTCAGCTGGTTAGGACGTCGAACTTATCAATTTTGCCATTTTTCGACCGCGTTCAATCTATGGTTCAAATCCTGTCGGGGCAGAATTTTTTTTTTGTTTTTTTTTATTTTTTTTTATTTTTTTTTTATTTTTTTTAGTTTTTTTTGTTTAGAAAATATGAAAATTGAATAAATACGATTATTGTTGATTATTTTTTTAAATACATTTTAATTATTATAGTAATAATAACCTTGGTTTTACATTTTTTTGATGACATTATTTTGTGGTCGTAGGAAAAATATTGTACATCACTTGTGTGAAAAGTGATTTTCCACACTCGTGTGATAGTCGCACTCGTGTGAAAAATGTCACTTTCCACACTCGTAATGTAAATTATTTTATATTTTCTATCTTTGGAATGTCACAGTAAATACAATACTGGCCCAAGAACACTTCCTTGTGGGACTCCAGCATATAATAATGAATTTATTTACACCAATTTACAAAATATAATAATACAATTACAGAAAAAAGGTATGAAAAAGGTTTTTTCGACGTTTATTGTTAGGAATTTATAGTTTAACCAGTTTTTTATTGCAGGAAAATCGTTTTCCACCATATGCTCCCATGTGTCAGCAGTATAGAAAATCGCCGTGTCATCTGCGAACTCCAAAATTTCACCCTTCGACCTAATCGAAAATAAATTATTTATATACAAACTGAATAGGAGCGGACCTAAGATAGTGCCTTGGAGCACACCATATTTAATGGACATAAAATTACTGTACCTATTGGCTATCCTTACGGTTTGCATTCTTTCATTTAAATAGGTAGTAAATAATTTTAATGAAGTGCTTCTAATCCCAATAGCTTCCAATCTTTGCAGGAGAATGTGATGGCTTACCGTGTTAAATGCCTTTGATAAATCAAGAAACACGCATAAACAAGGTTTACTGGCGTCTAATGATGCATATATTTTTTGTGTTAACGCCGAAATCGCATCTTCTGTGGATTTCTTTTCCTAAAACCATATTGGTTGTTTGATAATAAATTGTATTTAGTTAAGTACGAGTTTAAGCGAGTTTACAAAACTTTTTCAAATACCTTGGAAAAACTAGATATAAGAGATATTGGACGATAATTTATTACATTATTTGCATCACCTTTTTTAAAAATCGGTATACGACAGGATGGCCATTTACCATTCTCCATACAAACATTAAAAATATGTGATAAAGGCTTTTCAATATAGGGTGACACGATTTTTAAAATGTCACTTTTAATTCCATCGATCCTTGGTGCTTTTTTTGTTTTTAAATTATTTATTATATTTCTTATATCTTTTGCATCAGTAGGGTACAACACAAAACTATTTGGGAGACATGTTTTTGGAGGAATATACTGAGGGTCTTGTATAATTTGTTTTGCTAGAGTTTCTCATATTTTTACAAATATTTTATTAAATTGATGAGTTTATCCTTTATTGATTTTATTTCAGGATTCATTTACTACAATGTGACATATCATTAATAATTTGCTGTGAATCAGATTTATTTTTATTTATGAGATTTTGATATGTATATTTTCATTATTAGAATACCTTTTAACTTGTTTGTGTAGTTTATTTTTATTATGAATTGTTATGACCAGTTCATTAGTTATCCAGGGCGCAATTTTTAAATTTTTTCTATATACCTTGACGTTTTTTGTACACTTATTTATGTGGGATGTTGTTATAATGTCCACGAATTTTTTTATTACAGGTTTACTGATTTCAAAGATGGTGAAATTGGTTTTTAATTTTTCATAATTAGTATGTTTTATACGATTAGACATATTTTTGTTATTATTAAAATTGTGAATTAACTGTAACGCCGTGGAATAATGATCTGTAATGTTAGTTTTCATTATTAAAGGCATTCTGTGTCTACCACTAAATAAATAATGATATCACCTGGAAAAATTTGACAGTATTCATTATTCTTAATATTTTCTCGTAGAAAGTCCTGCATATATTGACCAGTGGCGGCTCGTGGGGTGGTTCACAGTGACAGAATATAGGTATCAGTACAGATGTATGAAAAAATTTTCAGTGTTTTAAAAAATTTATAATATACCTTTCTGAAACACTGATAGTTTTTGACCTATATCTGGGATCAATCGGGATCTATATTCTGCTACTGTGAATTCCCAAAATTTTGGTCACGAGTCGCCCCTGATATTGACTAAAGTTCAGAGTATTCGTTGTCTTCAACATTATATAACATTTGTCATATAAAGAAGATTTTAATTAATATATAAACAAATTATGTAGGGAAAGGTTGCCTAAAATGGGATACGTGGGTAAAATGGGATAGTGCCACTCACATATTAACTAAATATGGCAACATCGTGCCATGACGTCAGAATTGTGTGCGTCGCTAGGGTAAAGGCTAACGACAACGAAAGAAATTCTTTAGAACAACATCGGCTAATGAAGTGAATGGTTTTAATTTCTTTATGCCGGAATCGTAAATTTTTAATGTTATATCTTAAGACCTGAAAGCTAGCAGGAGTACTATATCAATCAATATATCAAAGAAGCAGTATCATCATTTTTCAATTTTCTTGAGCATCTTCAAGAAAAAAAGAACTTTCCTCCGGCCAGGGTCTTCAATGTGGATGAAACAGGCATAACGATGGTTCAGGGTCGTCCTTCAAAAGTTATTGCACTTCGAGGTCAGAAACAAGTGGGTACCCTGACGTCTGCCGAACGTGGATAGCTGTCTACAGCCGTAATTTGCATGAGTGGAAGTGGAATATTTGTCCCGTCTATGTTAATCATTCCTAGAATTCGTATGAAGCCACAGTTTCTTGAGGGTGTTCCTCCAGGAACATTAACAGTTGCTCATAAATCTGGTTGGATGCAATTGTATCTATTTGATAAATGATTCAATCATTTTCTCTCTCACATACAAGCATCAAGAAGTAATCCAGAATTACTTATTCTCGACACATACGCAAAATATTTCTATCATAGATAAAGCAAGAGAAAATGGTGTCACAATTTTATGTCTTCCACCACACTGTAGTCATCGACTCCAGCCTTTGGACGTGTCATTTATGGCCCCTCTAAGCACCTTTTATTCACAAGAAATGGAGATTTAGCTTAGAAATCATCCAGGGCGATGCATCACTGCAAGTGAAGTTCCTTATTTATTTGGCAGAGCATGTCTTCGTGCTTCTACTCCGATATGCTATTAATGGATTTGAAAAAACTGGACTGTACCCAGTAAACCGCATTGTATTTACCGAGGATATGTGTATTGCAAGACTTCCAACAGACAAACCACAAGAACAGGATGATGTCGTACCATCTTCTTCCGATTCTGAAGACGATCCAGCCGAACATAACGCTAATTCGGAAGGTACACGCGAAATTGAAACTAATAGAGAAGCTACACCCGAAAATGACCCTAATAGAGAATCTCTACCTAAACAAATAATGACTCTTCCAAATAATTGTTCCGAGGTTGCCAAAAGAAGTGCTTTACATGATATGCCATCCACGAGCAAAGGTATAACTTTGATAAGTCCTGAACAAATTGCTCCTTATCCCAAAGTTCGTAAGCTTGATATTCGAAAAATTACAAATAGAAAAAAAGGAAAAGCTGCCATTCTTACGAGCACCCCTTATAAGGAAGAATTAGAAAACTCTTTAAAGGAAAGAAATAAACAAATTAATGTTAAGAAGATAGCTTTAAAAACAAACATCAACTTACTGAATGAAGAAAAATCTAAGAAGCCTTTAATCAAAAAAATTACAAAAAAAGAG